TCTTATTAAAGGCTATAACTTTGATATAAAATGTATCTTAATTTGACACCATACAAAAAGATATTATTTTTTAAATGTGGCAAGCGCTAGTACACGATTATTATTTTTGCTAAAATTTTATATTATTTTTTTGAGCATTTTTACGTCCTTAAACAAAAAAACTCAAAACTAGAAAGTTATAGATCTGGTCGAGATCTACAATTTCCATATAAAAATCATCTTCATCCGATGTCGTATTGAAGAGTTATGATTTTTCGAAAATTTAGTCTTGTCACGCTACTCCCGGTCGCGCGACAAGATAATATTGTCACACCACCGGAAGTGGCGCGACAAGCTTTTCCACGTCGGAAACGCCATCCAACATGTCAGATGTTGTCGCGCCACATGTGTTGGCGCGACTGGCGCAACCAAAAGGGTCGGATCTGAAAATATTTTTTTGGAGCGGTTATTATTAAAATATTAATTAGAAATTATTAAAAAGAAAAATTCTCCCTACTACTTGGTCGCACTGCTATTGACAATAGTCAATCGTAGCAAGTGGTAAAAATAAAGAAACAAGATACAGTCGCAGGCTCAGTCACAGCTGAAACAGAGGCAGTACGGGTAGTAGTATTTACTACTTGCTCGAACGGATTGGCCCATTACTACTCCGTACTCGAAAACTGGCGCTCGCCCTCGATCGCCAGGCATCTGATTGACGGGGAGCGGGACGAGATCAAGTTGCCACGGCGCCCCGGAGCGTCCGACCGTGCGCTTGCCGCCCAAGGAAAAACTCATTTTTCGAAGAAACGAAAGGAGCTCGAGCTCGTTCGAGCGGCAAGCGTACATCCTGTCCTGTCATGGAGGGCCTCGTGACCGACCCAGCAGCATCCGGCATACGTACGTACGCGTGGTTGGCAAGTGTGACGCACTCACGGAAGCGGAGGTTGGCACGTCGCCGTCGCCGTCGCCGGATCCCCCGTGGCCGGGCGGATCGCGTGCGGATACCATACTCGGTAGTACGTGCACTAGAATCACTGCATGATGCACCGCTGCATGCAGGAGTAAGCAACCTGTAGTAGTGTAGTGTAGTAGTAGTACTAGCAAACGCGGCAGCTTTTCTTTTCTTGTCTGTGATGGCCTGGCGAGCTCCTCGGACTTGCATCTGCCTGTTCCCCGAGATCATCTGCAGCCTCTGCTTCAACTCCTGATCTATCGCCGCATCCAGTGACCAGGGGTGTGATCAATGAAGTGGAGGAGTTGCTGCACCTGCACGGCCCACGGGAGGAGCACAGCAGCCGGGCCATGCGGCAGGACCTCGTTCCCATGCATATCCCGATTTGCCCTAAAAAAGAGGTGGTATTAGCAGTGATGATGCGCGGAGGATGCTAAAGAAAGGGTTGCCATTGCTGAGATCTGCCCCCCAAAAAAGGCTGTACCGGGCACGGTGAACACGATGTGATTTTTCGTTTACTAATAACCGCGTCTTGATCGAGATCGACCACTTAATCCCTGGGTCGATCAGGTAGAATGGGGATAAAAAGCCACCTTGACTTTTTTTTCTTCCTGATGTTGTAGTATATATAACTAATGCGCCTTTGCAGCTTTTCCATTCATTCGTCACGATGGATCTTTTGCTGGATACGGTGGTTCAGGGCGTCAATGTAAAAGGAGTACGTGTACGTACGGTACTAGTGGGCGGTGCCGCGGTGCGGTGTCAATGAAGCTTATTGCTGCATCTAGCACTTAAGCGGCGGGTCCAGAATTTCAAGGTTTTTAAAAAAACACTTAATTGAAAGATATGGAAAGTTTATAGTAGCGTAAATAAAAGGTACAGATTGTTTAAACTATTGATTGATGTTGCACAGCATTTTTCTTTGCGGGACGCGAATTGACTGTAACTTAGTTGGTTAGGTTACTTACGGTAAAACCTGACCACTCGGGTAAGACCTCTTTGGATGCAGGGAAAAATTTCTACTCGTGTGCTTTTCATGTGAAATTCATGCGCGATTTTCATAAAATTCATGTACGACTCCATCCATCCATCCGCATTCTGCATTTTAGCCGACAATAGTATACAGGTATATTTGATATGTGGCCATATTAACTTAATTGATATGTGCCTAAATTGTGATTATTAGAATGGATTTCAATTCCAAGGATCAAAGAAGCATGCCATATCCTGGAGAACACTTCCCGTAGTAAGTGGCTTGTTATGTAACAACGTGATACCCATTTGTTTGTTTGGATATTTTTATCCTTTTGCTTTTAGGTGGCCCTTCTTTCACGTGGGACTTGATTAGGTGGCCAATGCAGTTTGACGCAATAACCCTATTCTTCTCTTATAGTTGATTAGACAATGATCTTTCCCATTTAAAAAAAGATGACTAAGGTCCAATTTGGATCCCATGATCTAAAGTATTGTCTAGCTGACCCTAAATGACCACACAAGTGTATTAAAGTGGTCTAAAGTTTTGTTTTCTCTAGTGAAAAGACAATTTTACCCTTGCCTTTTCATCTCATCCCCCGTTCGTCCACTAGGGCACATAAGTCTTTTTTATTGAATTAGATCTAAACTTTGTCCCCTTGTCTATAGTTTATTCGTTAAAAAAAACTCGACCGGGGGTAAAGTCTGCCCCCGCAGCATTTCAAATAAGAAGAAGACATTCTCATCCAGCCGAGAAAACCCCCGAACCCCCGCCCCACCGTTACACGGTGGCTTTCCGTCACCCAAGTGAGAATTGGGCCGGTGCCCCCCCCCAGTGCTTTGGTTATGGGGACGGGCAAGGGGATTTTTTTAACCTCAACCTAAAATTCGCTCCCATGGGGAGTCAAACTCAGGACCTAAGGAGTGCCGTCGAATCACCTAACCGTTTGAGCTATGTGCCCTTTGGCAGTTTATTCATTAAAGTTTAGTTCACTAAAGTTTAACCCTTAACTTTAGCCAACTAAACTTTAGACCATGGAGTCCAAACAGGACGTAAGCAAGGAGGTCAGCCCTAGTAAGACAAAGAAACTACAAGGATCTTTTGATTGATTGCTTGCTTGCCCTTTCGTGGAAGGCAAGGAAAGCAGTGGTTGCCTCCTGGAATATATATGATCCACAAAATTCTTTGCTTTGGCCTCTACTCGAGTAGCTGTAGAACAATGTTCATCTTATAACAGACGCACAGATTCATCTTGAAGAGTTGAATTTTTAAAGCTTGACCAAATATAACGAAATTATACTAATATTTATGACACACGATAAGTATAGGGTTCAAAATTTCTATGTTTTCAGAGGCGAGTGAAATTGTGGGTTGAGTTTAGAAATACCAGTATTTAGTTGTTGAATAGAATATTATGTGTCAACCAAAATGCATAAGTTAGCATCTAACCTAGTGGAAAGCTTCCACCTTCGCCTTATAAGTTATGTCATTCTTTTTCTTTTCTTTTTTTTTGAAATTGGAACACCTTAAAATCAACTTATTTAATTTTGTTTGGCCACAACCGATAATAACGTGTAAACCGAAAACCCTAAAGTGGAATATATTTCATTATTAATATATTAGGAGATAAAAATATTGACAACATTTTATAAATTTAATTAAATTTAGAAAACTTTGATTCTTTGAAAAATAAAATGTGCGCTTATTTTAGAAAGGAGAGAGTACTGCACATGTGGCTATGTGGCAAGGGAGTAGTATATACTCACTGGACACTCTCAGGACGATGGCCAGTTCTGTTTGCGCACATGGGCTGTTATTCTAAAAGTGAATCAGCCATCCCTCAGACCTGGTTCAGGGAACAGAGCCACAGACCGAACCAAAGCTCAGAATCCTCCTGCAAACAAAGAATCTAACCTGACAACTAAAACTACTACAGTGATGAAAGAGTTTGTTATTATAGCTGCTCTTGCAATTGGCATTGCAGTAATTCCGCGGAGAGGAGAAGGAAAAAAAAAGGCAAGAGTAAGCTTGTTCGGCTGGCATAGATCGGCTGGCTGATTTTTTTTTTTTCCAGCTGGAGCAGTATTTTCCTCTCAAAAAACCAGTATGAACAGTGAAACCAGCATGAACAGTATTTTTCTTCTAGTCCAGCCGAACCAGCTGAAGAGCATGGTCCATTGACAATGATTTGTTCCTCAACAAAAAAAACCCGGCCTTTTTGGCAGGTGAGACACCACATGCCGGAATATACGGGGGAAGAATCATGGTGTCTCCCCTGTCACTGTTCGCCCCCTTTCGATTTCGGTTCGTGTCTTAGGGCTGTTTGCTTGGGCTAATGCCATGCGGGCCAGGCGATGTTATGGTGGTTGGATTGGTAGATGCCATTGCCGCCGGCGTCGCTGTAGAAGGATCCTGGCGAATTTTCCAGGGATCCTGTGAGATCATGGGCATGTGATTAGCTACAAATACGATGTCTCTCGTCAGCATGTGGACAGCCGATCCGCTTGCCCCGGAAGCAACGGCATTTTCGTGACAGATAAGGTTCTTTTTCCGCAGCAAACATGACAGATAACCACGTTAGGTTTGGAAATTGGACACCTCTCTTCTGCACGAAAGCATAATATTTTTACAGCCTGTTCGCTTGTTGGTTTCAGCCAGTTCAAACCAGCCAGCCAACAGTGTTTTTCTCTCACAAAAAACCAGCACCAGCCAGTCCAAACCAGCACCAGCACCAACTAGCGAACAGGCCCTTAGTTGCAAATCAACATTGTCTTTTTTTGCAGGTTGCAAATCAACATAGTGATATGCGCTACAAGAGAACAGAATGAAACGTTAGGATAAGTTCCTTCTCCTCCCTGTAGGAGGATGAGAAGCACAGAGTGTACTGCCAGATTATTGCATGGGAACCGGCTCTTTACAACAAATACAATATTATTCAGAGATTACAAGATTTTGGAATACTCCAGAAGACAATAAAATGGAAAACAAAAGGCCAGATGGCTGATGGCAAATATTGGACAAAAGCAGCTTCGTTTTCGTACAGCTAGCTACAAGGCGACGGCAAACAAAATATGGGACTGATTGAGTGCACCGTTAGTGCGACTTGTGTATATTTGGGAACAGCCCATGAATATGCTCCGGCATGAAATCGTGCCTCGTCAGGATTCCAACAATTGGAGGTCTCTGCAGTAGAACAATAAAGGAATTAGCTATCAGATCGAGTTTGTCACAAAGAAAAGAAAAGGTGAAGGTTATATTGCAACATGAACTTCATATCATGTCAAAAGAATGGCCAGCACTGAAATATTTTCTCTCTAGAGCAAGATTCGGAGAATGAGAGCTCACCCCTGGGGTCTTCGGCACAACGAGCAGGTGCCTTAGTCCCAGTGCCCGGAAAAGGACGGCGGCCTTTGCAAGTGACATGGTCTCAACCACCGTGTACGGCGATGTATTTGTAATTGGATGGAGATCGACGTACATGTCCATTTCCTCATCAGTGAAATCCAGGTCCTCAAACTTCAGACCTTTTCCTGAACCAGGCTTGGCAAAATCGAAGGCACCAAATCTTTGCAGCACAAAGCTACCGCTGGTTTTCATCTTCTCTTTCATGAAGCCCTTGCCTTTCAGCAAGACCAGCAGATGGGATCTAAGCACAAGCCCAACAAGTTCTGGAGCCTCTGATAGAGGTGGCTCATCGACCACTGGAAATCCATTGTGGCCTGTGATCCTCAACGCCTGAACAATATTCCCCACTCTTTCGACGCCTGAAAAGGAGATCAGTGGCCCAGACACCACATCGCCAGCAACCAAGTGCCTCATGTATGGTTCGGCATGAGCTTCCAGGAATGGCAAACCTTTCATCACTACAATCTGATCATAAACCCCTTTGTTAAAGCTGTCGGCTATAGTCTTTGATATCAGAAGAACGAGCATGACTAACGGGAGCATAAGAAGGTCATTGGTGAGCTCCAGAAGTATCACACAGACTGAGACAGTCATCCTCATTGTTCCACCGAGGAAAGATGCTGCACCAAGAAGTGCGAATAGTCCAGGATCAAGGTCCGATATCGGGCCAAGAAGGGTCCCCACTATGCGCCCGTACGTAGCCCCAGCAAGTATAACAGGGATAAAGAGACCAGATGGAACAGCAATACCGTATGTCACAAGGCCAAGGCAGTAAATTGAAGTAAAGAATACGAAAAGAGTGGACATGTGGAACTCATTCTCCGTGCCACTGCTGAATAGATTGCGGATGGCATCATCATTTGTATTGAAGAATAACGATGCAAGACCATTGTAATAGCCCGGCGGGCACTGAAAATTCTTAAAATTCCCAGAGCGGCCAATGGTAGGGCATTCCTCCACAGCATCAGCAGGGCACGGAGTGCATGGAGCAAGCCAAGGTAGCCCATAGGAGCATGCTGATGTGATGATTGATATTGTGACAGTAAGAAGAATCTTGTATGGAGCACCTTTCCTGCAGGCAGACAGACAAAGACAACAATGTAATATGAGATTGCACCTTGAAGGAAAATTTTATAGAGTAACTAAATACACATGATTGATACATACTCATTGATAAAACTATAGGCTCGGAGAATTCTATCCAAGAGAAAATTGAACAGGCCCCCAAAGACCCCACCAATTATTCCAAGGACAATAATTGCAATGATATCCTGGGTACTGTAACTCGGGACGGTTGAGCTAAGATCAAACATAATCAACCCTCCTTGACCAAAGAGACCACATTTTCCACTACGACAGAGCTCGATCAGGCCCCTCAACACAACAGCAACAACAGCAGTTGTAAAGAATGTTCTCCACAGGAGAGCACTTCGCCACCTGAAACATGAAAGACCCATTCAGTCAAATGGAAAGAAAATGCAGCAAAATAAAAATGTCAGTGTTGCCCATCTGATGCAGTTGCAAATAGATAAATTCTCCTATCAACATACTGAAGCAATCAGACTATTATTCTTATTCAAAAGATCTATCACTCGAATTGATATTTTGGAATTCAGATACCTATGGGATATGGCTACTACATTTGTGATGAAGGTCTGAATTTTGATGTTGGTAACAAGGTTATTACAAATCCAAAGGCATATGCCAAGATGGCAGCACCTGTCAAATATGAATTAGCAGTTGTGACAAGGGAAATAGTTCCTACCATGATGCTGCTTCCTCAAGAGCAAAGAGCACACCACCCACAGGCGCACGGAATGCTGCTGCAACTCCAGCAGCAGAGCCACAAGTAATCAAATCCCGCCGATCTCTATCATTCTTAAAGTATCTGAGCCAGTTACATGTCAGATGGTACTTGCGTGACCCCCCTTGACCAAGTAAGTTGGCAATGCATGCTCCTGTATGTACCATGGGACCTTCCTTTCCAAGTACAAATCCAGCTGAAACTCCAAGTATTGAACCAAATATCTGCAGAATAATAGAAGCAAGTTTTAAGAAATAGATTGCTGAACTCGAACTGGCAATTAGAAAAACCAGGAGTCCTGATAGCATTATATGTCATCCACAAAACAAGCTGCTGTGATTCTGAATAAGTTACCAGACATAAACACATAAGCTGTTCTAATTTAAAATTTATGCCTAAGCATGTAAGCATCATAAATGGATAAACTAGGCAAAGTAACAGTCTAACAGATTCCCTTTGGTAGCACATATCCGAATAAACACTAACAATGACACGTTTGTGAATTTGCAGCAGGTCATTAAAAAGAAAAGAGAATGAAATCAAACATAATGAGCAAGGCAGTACAACTGTCCCTAGACAACAATTTGGCTGTCAATGCATCTTCACAATTTCCTAGTAAGCTGGAAAAAGTTTAGGGGTTTCTACAACAATTATCAATGACATGTCAGAACATGGCATGCAAATGCTGGAAAAGATCTTAGTAATTCAATCAGGTAAGGTAGCACAAAAAGTTACTACTGCGAACAAAAACTGAAAGAGTAAGAAATCAAACATGGTTTCCCTGTAAAAAAGAAATACTAAGATGTTCAATGCAGCTGTGTATTTTATTCTGAATTAGACTTTACCTTCACAAACAGTGTACTTGGAGCTAATATAGCATAAGCATCAACTCCATTAAGGTATGCTTTAACTTCAGGGATACCAGACCCAGCAGCAGCAGGTGCTATGTAAGCGCAGATCGCTGCAGCAGTAGCTGCCAAGACTAGATTGCAACCTCCATATGCCAGAAATGCTGTGAAGTACCTGCACTGGAAGCAACAAACCATTGGCACTTCACATTATTCAATTGATGTAAGTCAGTAAAACCTTATGCAAGTTATTCACCGTGTTGCATTACTTAATCGATGACAAGTTATATTGAACAGCTGGAGAATCAAACTAAATGATCTGGTAAAATAGCATAAGCATCTGAGTGAAGCTTTACCTATGCTTGAGCATTAGATCACTTGTAAGCAACAGTTTGAACCCAGCAATGTTTTCAACTGCAAGGTTATTGAAGAAGCCAACAAGTCCAGTACACAAGCCAATAAGAAGAACCAAGGACCATTTGAGAACAATATACTGGAATATCTGCTTCTTCTTTCTTGATCGCCAATCTTGCTTGAAAAGGTCATTTTCCACAATTCTGAAACATGCTATAAAAATTTTGATGGTAAGTCGGGAAGTAACATAGCAAGCCTTGCTAAACTGTGCATATTTTCTATTTCTAAGGAGTATACAGTCAGCAAATTACATCTGCCAGATATTATTATCATTGAGTTTACACTGAAGAATTTTGCAGTCAGCTTCTTCTCAGTTTGTTGGTTGGTATCCTATTTTTGGCATGCTACAACCCCCATTTAAGAACATTTAATTGCATCAGTATTTATTTATTCATACTACAAGATAGAAGCACATGTGTGTGGTTCCATTTGTCGAAACTCAAACGGAATCAGATCAGTGCATGGTTCAGATCCCAAATAATTATGGTTTCTTTCTTATTCTAGATTTGATACTTTATAAAAATGTTCGATTTAAACTATGGCCCCGTTCAGATGGTATGGTTCTGGAGGAATTTGGATGGTTCGGAGGAATTCTGGAGGAATCTGTGAGAGGAAAACACTGTTCCGGATGAAAAAAGAAGCGGATCAAGCCGGGTTTAAGGGCACACGAACGGGGCCTATGTACATAATGTCAACAACGGAAGATCCTGGCATCCGACCATTAAAAAATTCCATGGAATCTACTAACTAGCCTCCTTCAACCACTATTCAGTAAGTACACGAACGATCAGAACATGACATTGTCGATGCAGTATTGCTGTATAGTGTATGAATTATTTACAAAATTCAATGGCAGAAAGGCGCAAGAATGATAACGCCTTATTGAACAATAATCAATCAGGATAACTTTTTCGTCTTCCAAACGCATCACAAGATCCTAGCTTTATGGTAAGGCATGCCAAACAATAAACTAATAATAAGTTATAACATGATCTTGCTCTTGCCGTCCTTTTGGGGGTAAAACCAACGATCCTTCGTCTCAATCACCACGAGAAAACAGTACAGATCAAACATTTTCGCCGAATCAGCACAGAAAGCATTCGGGAAGTTGACAATATCAACCAACGGAGCCACGGAGGGGGAGACAGAGAGGAGGCGGTTTGTGTGGAGGGCGTACTCGTAGTCGAGGCTCTCGATGGGGCAGACGTTGGCGCCGACGATGGCAATCTGGGAGGTGGTGTTCATGGTGCGCTTCCGCAGCAGCGGCTCCCGGGGCCCGTCGTCGTCGTACCGCAGCAGGGCCTCCGACGATCGGTACTGCCCCGCCCCCGCACCGTGCCACGGGCCGTCCGTGCTCTCGATGTCGTAGCTGAAGCTGCCATGCCTCTCTGCCCCCGGCTGCGCCGGCGGCGAGTGGTGGGCGTCCATTATTGCCGTCTGCTTGGGCGGTGGCGTCGCCCACGCTGCCGCGGCCTCCTCCAGCGCTTCTGCCTGCACTCTATGAGACAAAATGGAAAGGAAGTACAGTACTAAGTTGGACAGAAAAGGGAAATGAATTCTTATGTATTGCGTGAGCACAGATTACTCTTGACGTAGTAGTGAATTACTACTAAAAATTCAGGAGAAAAAAGCCCCTCCCTATTCATGTCGAGTTGGATCTATCAAATTGAATCGTAATACAGAGTAATTTTCTTCTGAAAATTTGCCCTTTCTGAACTGGTAAGTATTTCTAGCACTAGTAATTTAACTCATAATGCAACTGTCAACTGACCTAGTAGGAATTAAGAAACTAGATGGATCGGCGTGAAAATCTTGTGGCGTACCGCCATTCCTTCATACTACACGCCAGAAGAACGGGGAAACTGGGAGAGTCGGTCTGGGAGGTCGATTCAGCGACGCGACAATCAGAGCGCACTCACTATGCGGGGTCGGCTCCGGGTTCCGCCGGCCTACAGCGTGCCGCCACTTGTCACGGCAGGCGACCGAGACTGGCATGGAATTTTGCTTCCTGTGGTCGCAAAGCGGCGGGACACTTTCAAGTCTCTGGGCTAGGAGAAGACAGAAGAGGCCGTGAGCTTTCGCGTGCCCCACATGGCGATACCCCCGGTTTACCAGCTTTGTTTCGTTGTCACTTTCATCTCGTTCGATTTCGATCACATTTTTTTTATCCATCAACAGGTTGTCTCTAGAAGTCTCAGCTCCAGCCTCCAGCTTTACTTCCACGTGAGAAACCAGAACCGTCGCAGACGGAACTGGTGCTTGGTTAGTGCTGCGTCTATCATTGTGGGACAACCTATAGCCATGACGGATCGGATGGGATCTTTACTTTAGAGCTTTCATTTTTCATGTGGGCTGTGTGGCCGGGCAATTGACCAATCAAACTGCGTTCACGCTGCCTTGTCGTGATGGGCAATGGCAGCGGCCATTGTTCAGTGTGGATGCCTTTCCCTTCCAAATGGATGATTAAGAAGAGCACAGACGTGACCACGTGTTGTATATAATGCACACGCCTTTATCCAGCCCTAACAATTCTACGGTTCAGTATAACGTAGGCATAGACCGCACAGGAAGGAACCTATCGATATTCCACCAATCCATCCGTAAGCAAGAACAGGATCGGTTCCGTTCCGGATCCTGACACAAATCATTGCAGCTTCCCGTCGCATCGCCTGCAGTGTGTCATCTCATCCACCAGATAAAAGAGAGAATTTCTTATTTGACACCAGACAAATGACCTGTTTCTTTCTTGGCTCTTAATAAATTTTCGTTCCCTATTTGATACCGAGTTCAACTTTCATTCCTTACATGACACTCCGTTGCATTTTCCATCCGGCCACCGTTAACTGCGCTGTGAAAAGACGATTTTGCCCCTGTGGGCCCCACCACCCTTCTCCCTCCTCTCCTCCTCCGGGCCGCCGCGTCCTCCCCAAGCCCGTGGCCAACTGAGGCCGAAGGGGAGGAGCGCGCGCCGCCGGCGAGGAGGAGGCCACAGGGGAGCGCGCCTGCCGCGCTGAGGCCCCTCCGCCGCGTCTGTGCCTAGAAGGCGATGCAACCGGGGACTCGGTGCTCCTCTGCCACCGTCCAGGCCTTGGCGAGCGCGGAGGACGTCCTTCTCCCCTTCCTCAGGCACCCTGCTCCCCATCCTCTTCCTCGCGAGACAAGAGCTTGGTCCGTGGCGGAGAGAAGGACGCGAGCCACCATGGGCCTCAGCGCAAGCAAGCGTGATGGGAGCCGGGCTGGCGGCAGAGATCACGAGGATGCGGCCAGCGCCAGCAGCGACCTCGATGCCAGGGAACCATCGACGACGGTGAGGAACGACCCGTGGTGAAGTGCGAGACGAGTGGAGGTGACGCGATTCAGAGGAGGGAGAAGGGTGGTGGGGCCCACAGGGGCAAAATTGTCTTTTCACAGCGCGGTTAACGGTGGCCGGATGAAAAATGTACCAGAGTGTCATGTAAGGAATGAAAGGTGAACTCAGAGTGTCATGTAAGGAATGAAAGTTGAACTCGGTGTCAAATAGGAAACGAAAATTTTTTGAGGGTCAAGAAGTGAACAGGTCATTTGCCTGGTGTTAAATAAGGAATTCTTAAAAAAAAAAAAAAGTCGAAACGCAACTCCACAACCACCCTGACACCCTCCGGCCTATCCACCCTCCGGCCTATCCAATGGTCCTGGCCACGTGTAAAGGCAAGGGAATCCCGCTCCCGCGGGAAGTCCGGCCTATCCAATGATCCTGACCACGTGTAAAGGCAAGGGATTCCCGCTCCCGCGGGAAGTCCGGCCTAAGTCCGAGTCCACATGGTGCGGCAGCAGCATCGCTCGCCAGTGGCCACTTTGCCAGTGCCATTTCCCTCACGGCTCATCGGTTGTTACGTACTTGTTAGTCTGATCCCACTTGGCTTTCCGGCAAATAAATTAGTTAGTCTGGTCTCTCAGAAAGGGGCTAATAACTAAACTATACTAATCGGTCATCAATCAATCAGCTAATCAGAAAGGGGGCTAAAACTATACTAATCGGTAATCAATCAGGTAATCTTCTCCTCCTTCCCACAAGTGGACAAGAGAATAGAGCTGCCGCAGGAAAAGGAGCACCTCCGATCCTTGTTTATGCTAAATGCGCTCGATGACGACGGCAGCTTGCTTCTTCCATCTCCATCGATCTCTCTACGAGCTTCGGGTGATCCAACGAAGTCTGCAGGCCTGCAGCAAAGGCGCACGAGCTCCCCATTGTTTTGTTTAATAGTTTTTTTTATAAGACTAAGGCCTCTGCTCCTCGCGTTTCGCTATCAGATCACATGACATGAACATGAACACCATGAGGTGAAGGGAAATTAGCACAACCAATAACCCAGTTGTTATCGCATTTTAACGTTCCATGGCTAACTTCCTTGATGACGATGGTGCTCTACAGTGCCAACTGGGCGGGCCAGTGCATGACTGCCAGTACGCTGTAGGCACGTCGGATCCAACTTGCCGGCCTAGTTGCGTGCTGGCACCTGGCAATCTAATCGCGGAAAATGGAAGGGGACGGGTGGTACTTGACGCTCTCACCTCTCAGAAGTCAGAACCCAACTAGTTCATCACTTCAAATTCATTTCAGGGGGGAAGGAATTCACTGGCTGGTTTTCCAACTGCGTCAATCCATTCCATGGATTATTCCGTCGCCCTGGCTAAAGATGAACTGCTCTCACTATATCATCGTGTAAATTTTTTAAAAAGAAAAATGGTTCGCGTAGCGATCCTGCTGCTACACAAACAGAGCACAGCCCTGCGCAGACAAAATGCAAGCCGATCCGACACGAGTGACTGCGCAGAGGCTCTGGGGCCGCAAATTAGAGGACGAGTACAGGTCGAGCGCGTACCTAGCAATCCCGGCTGGACGGACGAACTGGTCCGGTCGCCACGACCATGGATCAGCTGCCCGGCGGTCGGTCCTCTCCGCGACCGAGATCCTCTTCCTGATCGGGCGGGGAACTCCACGCGCTCGCTCGGCCGGCAGTTGGCCGAGTCTCCGTCGAGCCCGTTCGCCGCCTAGTGCTCAGCGCCGCCTGGGGCTGGAGGTCGACGAAGGCCGAGAGACCCGCACGGCAGGCACCAGGTGGGTGGGTGTGCGTGGCCTAGCCGCGGCGCCCGGTGCCGGTGGACAACTGGAGAAGCTTCCAATCCAATCCAAATACAAGGAGGGTGGGGAAAAAAAAAGGAAGCGGAAGGGGGAGAAGAGAAGACGATGATGGGCGCGGTGCGAGATATGACCAGATGGGATGGAGGGCGCAGGCGCAGGCGCAGGCGCAGGCGCACGCCGCGCTCGCTCTTGTTTAGTTGCTCCTGACTAGGGATGAAAACGGATCGGATACGAACGGATATCACTCATATTATATTTGTTTTTATATTTCTGTTCGGATCTGGATTTGGACACGGATAGCGTTTGGATACATATCACTAATCTGGATTGACTCGATTCGGATATGTCGAATACGGTATGAATCGGATTCGGAGAAGGTCGGATACAAATATCTATTCGGATATTGAGTAAAAGCGAATATATATATATATATATATATATATATATATATATATATATATATATATATCATACGTAATTACACCACTCTATGAGTCCATAATCCATCTAGATTAAGCCGAAAGACTAAAGAGTAAAGCAACAAATAAGATAAAGATACAGATACATCATACATCAAACATCATATAAGCACCAATCTTCGCGGCATGAGTAGAAATAGCCAAGCACATTGCTTCATGGGTCTCATGGAGTCATGGTCATGGATTCAAGATCTGCAATGCTTATATAGGCTATTTTTTCATTTTGAGAAAGTTTGAACAAAATGTAGTTCAAATTTCACAAGTGTGTGACATAGTTTTAGAAAGTCTGTATGAGATTTAAGAATTTGTGACTAGTGTTTGATAAAACTTTCTCAAATGGGAAAATGAGCTATGTAACAATTGTATATCTTGCTGAGATGATCAAACTTGGTATTCAGAGTTTTTTCATCTGAGGTCATTTAGTGTCTCATTTGAGCAAGTTTGACCAAGTCAAATCTGGTCAAATGAAAAAACAACACTTTGACTCTAGTATTATGAACTCTAAATGACTTCAAATTGAAAAGTTTTGAATACCAAGTTTGTTCAACTCATCAAGATCTACAATTCTTGTTTTGGTCAACTTTCCATTTGAGATAGTTTGGATGGTTCAAATTTGTGATTTTTAAATTTCGATGCTTACAAACTAGTTTTCGGAACCCTAGATTGTCTCAAATTGAAAAGTTTTGAATACCAAGTTTGTTCAGCTCATCAAGATCTAAAATCCTTATATAGGCTATTTTTCATTTGAGAAAGTTTGAACAAAATGTAGTTCAAATTTCACAAGTGTGTGACATAGTTTCAGAAAGTTTGTATGAGATTCAAGAATTTGTGACTAGTGTTTGATAAAACTTTCTCAAATGGGAAAATGAGCTATGTAACAATTGTATATCTTGCTGAGATGATCAAACTTGGTATTCAGAGTTTTTTCATCTGAGGTCATTTAGTGTCTCATTTGAGCAAGTTTGACCAAGTCAAATTTGGTCAAATGAAAAAAACTTTTTGACTCTAGTATTATGAACTCTAAATGACTTCAAATTGAAAAGTTTTGAATACCAAGTTTGTTCAACTCATCAAGATCTACAATTGTTGTTTTGGTCAACTTTCCATTTGAGATAGTTTGGACGGTTCAAATTTGTGATTTTTAAATTTCGATGCTTACAAACTAGTTTTCTAACCCTAGATTGTCTCAAATTGAAAAGTTTTGAATACCAAATTTGTTCATCTCATC